TAAATGACTTCCGGTAGTAGAATGTTTATTGATGACACTTCTGATACTATGACGAATACAACCATAGAGATGCTTTTAATTACTTATGATTTTATATGATTCTAGGACAAACTTGTTGGTTTTAATTTAAACTCATCTCTTCACAAAAAAATTGTTCTGGATGGGCTGAGATAGATAATTGCTCTCAGGTTCATGCAATTATTATGGGTAGTGGATGACAACGGAGCAGTATAAGTGAGAACTTCACTTTTTGAGATTGAATAAGTGAGATAACTGAACTATTACATTGGAACTTTAACCAATTGCTGAAGATTAAAGATGTCACCAATACAGAATTTTCTTGAGAAATCAGGGACAATATCTTGGAATGAAATGTATAAGACTCCTTTTTCAAGAAGATTTTCTCGGTTGAGATTGTTTTGCACTTTTATTCGTCAGAAAATTTTATTGGTTCTCTGGATTGAAAATTTCTGTTTCTATTCCCTGGTTTGAAGTTGCCAGTGTTTGGTCAATCTCTGCATGGAAAGTAGTTTGATGTCATAACAAGTTTCCTTTTACGACATGCATGTGATCATTAAATGCATATTAAACAGATGCGCATGCTGAAACTTGTGGGCTATCTTTGAGAGATTTTGCTGTGTTCTCCACTTCCTTCTATATTTTTATTACAATGTATATGTGCTTCGAATTGAAAACTGTCATGTACATGAAGGGCTCATGGATTGTGCGTCAGAGTGTCGGAAGTACTCCTTGTTTACTGGGGAAGGCAGTTGACTGCACCTATATCCGCGGTCCCAAGTATTTGGAAGTATAGACTTCTGTCCCTTTTCTTTGAGTTATTTAACAAATAGACACAATGTTGTCTCGGATTTGATCATGTGTTGTTTATATTCTGTAGATTGATGTTGATATTGGTTCTTCCACTGTCGCGAATGGAGTTTTGGGGCTTGTGATTGGTGTAATTACGAGCCTAGTAGTTGACATGGCTTTTCTTGTACAGGTATGTGAATGGACCTTCACCTGCAAGATTTTTTTTTCTTGTTGATATATTTATCTGTACAGTTTGTTGAACTCTGTCAAAGTATGTTGGGTCCAACTATCTTGGAATGTTGGAATAATTTTGAGTTATATAGGTACAAGTATGAGATACGTCTTCTGTCCCATTTTATATTGCTCCATTATTATTTGGAGAAGTCAAAAATGTTTTGCATTGTACGATTTTTAAATACAGTAATAGAAAATTGTGACTTGTAATGCTTTCTATGTAGTTCTTGATTATGTATAAATTCATTTTAAAAACTAAGGAATTGATGTTCGAATAGAGACCTAAAGTCAGATGACTACTCCTCATACTTCTGGTCCTATCATTCATTTTGGGATGAGAAAGTAACAAAATGAATTAATGAAGTTAGTCTAATACTCTAATACATAAAACTTGAAAGTCGGATGTTTTCCGGTATAGACTTGTAAGTTGGATAGCTGGACTCCCATTTAAGTTACCATAAAGCCAGAAATTGATAACTAGATAGATAACAACAACATACACAATTTAAGTGGGGTCTGGGAACGGCAATGAGTACACAGCCTACCATACCTTTGTGAAGGTAGAGAGGTTGTTCCCGATAGACCTTCGGCTCAAGAAAAGGAAATATGGTAGTGAAGAAGTCATGTAGAAATAATAAAGAAAATCTTTACGTAAATTGCAGAGAATTTCCTGACTCAACCAAAAAGCTAGAAAAAGATTTCCTGATAAGAACATAGTAGTACACACCTTTGAATTGAGAAAAAAAGAAAAGGAGGCAGTAGCAACAAGAACAGAGCATCATTATAGTTTTATATTATACTCCCATAATACCTAATTAAATATTAACATTTCTCTGTTTGGTATATCCCAAAATAAGTATTCACTTTCTTAAAAAACAGATATCTATTCAAATATTATATGCGGAAGAAATTATGCACGGGGTACTTTTACACTTTTTGATAAACTTTTTTCCCTTGTAAACAATCTAAAAGTAGTGGCAAGGAACTTAATACTTACTCTTAGTGATAGTCAAAGCAAAACATTGATTTGAAGCAGATGGTTTAATAGGACAATCTCTCCTTCTTTTTCTATAATGATGCCATGGTGTTCGGATCTGCATGCACCTAGACTATTCTACTGGATACTTCTCATCTCCTAAGTCCCACCAACCTAGTTGCTCAGACTCTTCACTTTTGATGCCGCACCCATGTCGACAAGACGTGGGTGTAAGTGTGGGATACGTGTCCGATTTGGTCAACCGATTATGGGTACTTTGACCAAAATCGACGGGAAAAGTCTGGATAGTTTTTATGATTTCTGTAGTCAATACAGAAGCTAAGGTGAAATTGAAGAAAATGGAATACCTTCTATATAGAATTTTTTTTTTATGACAAGGGAAACTGCACCCGTATCCATTCATGGATACTTATCCCCGAATCTTAAAAATTAGATCATGAAGGATCCGACTTCCAAATCCGCACCCCTATCGGACACCCCCACCCGAGTCAGAGCAACTTAGCATCACCAACATAGGGACTAGGTAACTTTGCCCATCAAGGTTTTGTTGATATGAAATCTTTGTTCAAGAATATGGAAATCATGGGAAAACATAAGGAAGATAGGTGGACCATTCATTTCGGTAGGATGGAAATTAATCAACTGTACGATGCTTGATCTTCCAGTGATGGTTTCATCTCACTGCATAGAATATAGAAAGTTTTTCAATGTGGAGTGATTTCTTTATTGGAATGAAATCGTCACAGTGTCAAAAAAGCATTCAGGTTTACAGATAAGGCCTCTAGAACCATTTCACTCACCGCTCAAGTAATTCTCCACAAACACTATACAATATCTTGAACTTTAAGAATATTTAGCAGTGCCTGCATCGTTGTATGTAAAGTGGATTACAGTGCCAAATAAACTATCAAAAGGAAGCATTTGAATTACTAGAGCCTAGAGGGAAATAAAAAAGGGAACTCTTATCTGCTTAGTAATGAAGATGAATTAAAGGAGATATCCCAGTGTACTATTTTAGTTTGGTCATTGTATTTTCAGTGTATGTTCATGATTTTTTTGTAAACATTCATTTCTAGTCGAAAATTTCTGTAATAATAAAACTATATCCCCGCCATCCCCTATGCATCCTCCCTCCCTAATGACAAAAAGAAGATGAAATTGATTCGAAATGATGTGTTTGACATTTTCTTTCTCGAAGTCATGCAAATGTGTTATCCATCTTTTCTCTAAAAACTTCCTTACTAATTGTTACCTCTCAACGAGGTTGCTATGTATATGCTGAATCTGATAATGTCATTCGCTAATTTGTGTTAGGGAAACTCTCCCGATGAGTTGCCTGAGCAACTAATAGGCGCTGTACGTGCATCTCATATAGAACTCTCAGCTGCTGTTGTACCAAAATTGGAGCCTGATACTACAGAGTAGGTCAAACCACACACATAGTTCACCTTCTTCAGAAGTTGATTCTTGAAACATACGTATACATAGATGTAGTTCCTTTCTATTTTCGTTCATCGTGTTCTTAAAATTTGTTTCAGCTCAGAATGGAACTAAGTCTGTTTATAGACGTCGACTTCATTAAATTCTTTTTTTTTTCTGTTCTCTTTCGATTATCAGTAAGAGCAATGAACTATTGCCTTATTTCCAGGTGCTGATTCAGAATAAAAAGAAAAACACGATGTTGGATTTGTTTTTCTCTTTGTAATTGAATTCTATCTGTACAGATATGTTAATTGTGTCATCTTTTTGTCTGTAATTTTCCAATTTAATTCATGATAGAGAGATTAATAGATTATACAACCTCTCTACTTCCGCGAGGTACGGGTAACGAGATGAAGCTTCAATGTTTTGGTTCACTAAGCCCCCATCTAGTCCTATCATGTAATGGCATAATCTGTTAGTGATATTGTTTTGTTCCAGTGATACGTACGACTTTAAAAGTCGTCATTAGTTTCCTTTCTCTTTTTTCCTGACAAAGGAAACCGACAGTCACTATTCAAACATAGAGTAAAACCCTGCTCCTATTAGCTCGCAAGCCTGTACTAGGCCAGCTCGGTGTGACGTGCTCGATTCACAAGGCAAATTTCTTGCTTTTATTGGCAAGAGGTTTTGAACTTGGGACCTCCAACATGGAAGGTTCGGGGCCACCCCGAAGGGTAACTCATCATATTTGTATACTCGAGATGTTTCTTGTGTTTTGTTGATGCGAGACTTTTTATCCTAAGCTAGGGTATCACAAGAATGTGCCAACAAAGACGTATAAAATAAGCTTTTTAATTGTGGCTATGAGATCAATTATGTTGTATGGAGCAATCAAGAATTCACACGTTTATAGAAACAACGTCCTTGTCTTTTAATTTTTTTTTAATTGAATGTATTCAACCAATTTGAATGAATAAGTATTGTATTTATCATATCACACTTCCAAAAATATACGTTTAGAATATGTTTGAAAGACCCACCAAAAAAATAGGTAAGAAGAATTAAAATAGAAATAAAAAGCTATAAAAGGAAAAAAAAACTAAATAAAGAAATGAAGAAGCCTAAATATGGATTAAGATCATTTTATTCAATTCATATTTAACCAAATTCATTCTTATCTACATTTTTTTTTATATAGATAAATTTCAATTTAATTCATTTCCATTATTCTCAATATAATTTTTGAGAAAAAAATATATCACTTAAAATTTTAATGCATAAAATATTAAAGCGAGACACGAAAGTAAAAAAAAAAATTAAAAAATATCTCTAAAGTCCGATAAAAAAGAAAAATGTATAAAATAAAATATAACAAATGATAAAAATAACTTATTTGTTAAAAATATAAATAACAAACTTTTTTTCATTTAAAAATTAAAAAAAATAATATTTTTTTCAATAATTTAGTCAAAAAAAATAATAATTAAAAAAACATTTTTTACTCCGTCATCTCTATTAAAAAACCCCTCAAAATTTCCGTCTCCCCCAAAATTTTCATTTTCCCCCTCTCCCTTCCCTCCATTCTCTCTCTCTGTCTAAGCTTTCTCTCTCTAAACTTTCTCTCTCATCAGCAAAGCCATTTCTGTGTCTCATGATGGATGGAGCTCAGCAGTACAATCCTCGAACTGTTGAAGAAGTGTTTAGAGATTTTAAGGGTCGAAGAGCTGCACTTGTCAAAGCCCTTACTACTGGTAAAAAAAAAAAACTAAACTCAAATTCACGATTTTGATAGTTGATATGTAACCCCTTTTTGATTTTTAGTTGTGGGTTTGTTTTTTATTTTTGTTTTGTTTTTGAGTTTTTTTGGGTGCTGTGCTAATTTTTTTTTTTTTGTTTATTTGTTGTTGTTTCATGCAAGTATATGACTTTTAACTCATAAATCACAATTTTTTGACAGTTTTTAAGTAACCCCTTTTTGTTATTTTAGTTTTTTTGGGTGTTGTGCTGGTTTTTTGTGTTTGTTTTATGTTAGTATATGACTTCAATTTGATTTTGTTTGATGTGGGGTTGTTGCAGATGTTGAAGAGTTTTATCAACAATGTGACCCAGGTAAAAAAAGAACTTTTTTCTTTTGGATTGTTGTGTGCATTTTTTTATGCTTTTGTTTTTACCGTATGTGTTTTTATATGTGATTGTTGTGGAGTTCCTGGTGCTAGTGTTTCAATGAATTAGTAATCAGTTTGTATATTTATGTTTACATGTTTACTTTTAAGTGAAACCACTTTGCAGTGTTACTGGTTTTTATTGTTCACATCAGATTGCAGTGTTTTACTGGTTCTTTTTTATAGTAAAATGAATGGTGCATTTTCTCTACCTTCGAAGGTAGGGATAGGGTTTGCGTACTCTCTACTCTCCCTAGACCCCATTTTGTGGGATTACACTTGGTATGTTGTTGCTGTTGTTGGTTGTATGCTTCAAATAACTATTTTAGTCTATTCTTCCTGTTATTGCATTTTACTGACCAGTTATGGAATAGTCATTTAATCCAAGTTTTCTCGAGTTGCTTTGATGTGTCACTTTGCTACTGGGCACTGTCTCAAAGTTTGGTGAAACAGTGACACCTTTTGAATGTCTTTTCTTATCTCAACAGTAGTTTACTAAGTGCAAGAGAAGTCATTTGTAGTGTCTTTGTTTAATAGTTCTTGCTAAACTTGGGTTAAGATTTATCGTGGACTTGCAATTTTCGATACTAAACTACCTCATTGTATAATTGTGCAACACAAATATCTCACAGATCTACAAAACAACCCCTAGTTCTACAAGTTTATTAAGAATCATCTTAGCAACATTTTTAATCAAGTTAGATAACTCTCTTTTAGCTGTTACCTGCCATCTCCTACCAGCATTGATATGTGTGTATTAGCTTATTGAGACTTAAGTAGATTGGAAGAAATGACCTATGGTTTTTTTCCCCGTTGAGACTTGAATCTTGATCTCCAAGGTTTGCACCCACTTTATTATGGACGAGGCCAGACAATTTGGGTTTCAACTTTCTCTTATGGTCTTGATACTCGGATTCTCTCTTTTTCGATGTAGATTTAATAGATGACAACAAAACAGAGGCATAAATTACAAATGAAGAGTACAAAGAAAAGATTAATTCAACTTCAGTACAAAAGCGATTAATAGCTTGCTTAGCCAAGCTTTTGTGAAGAAAAAAGTGCTTTTTAAAATTTTAAAAATGCTTATCTAAGGGAGTTTGGGTGTTTGGCTAAACTTCTAAGTAAAAAGTAATTGGTGTACAACTGAAACAACTTTAAAATTCAGGTCTAGATGGAAGCTCAATGAGTCTTGTGACCAGTGGACAAAGAGAGAAGAAATCCTTGGTCCAAAAGACTGTAGAGAAACCCGAGCTTATGGAGGGTAGGGGGGGTTTGTCCACATGGGTATCATGACATGCGGGCACGACAATGTTGCTAGAAATTTTGAATATTTCAGCTAGCAAAACAAACACATGCTCATGTGAGGAGAATAATATAGTAATTTTGACCCAGTTGCCCACGTTGGATTAAAAGGAAATTACAAGCAATCCATATCTATATGTAGCTATTTTCCAAGGCTACCTTCTACAGTTTCTTTCAATATTTTCAATTTTTCCAGACGCTATCTTGTCATTGCACAATGTATTGCATTACACTCTTGTGATTTATTCATAACCCAGTCTGAAGCTTAAACTATGTATTTTATTCTCAATCGAATGCAGAGAAAGAGAACCTCTGCCTTTATGGATTTCCCAGTGAAAGTTGGGAAGTCAATTTACCAGCTGAAGAAGTGCCCCCAGAGCTTCCTGAGCCTGCTTTGGGCATAAACTTCGCCCGAGATGGCATGCAAGAGAAGGACTGGCTCTCCTTGGTTGCTGTGCATAGTGATGCATGGTTACTTTCTGTTGCCTTTTATTTTGGTGCTAGATTTGGGTTTGATAGAGCTGATAGGTATGTTTCTTTTTTTAAAAAAACAAATCACTTTAGAGCTGATAGGTATCTATCTCAACTCACTTATGTACTTTCACACCTTGTAATATTTCCCTGCTGTTTCATCTGATATGGTTTACAAGTATGTGTCACTAATAAACACAATGGTGCAAGCACATGGCTTGTTAACTTATGTTATACACATTTATCTTGTAGCTAGTTCCTTTCCTATCTCTTCTCTACTTCAATCATATTGTTCTCTACTTCTATCATATTGTGGAGTTAAACTGATGCAATTATTGTTTCTATTGATTAATCTGTATATTGGGGTACCATTTTCTTTTTTTCAGCTTTATGGTGTAGGATATCTGCCGACTCCTGTCATTTACTTAATTTATTCCTTATTCTTGCAACTATAACAGCAAGACTGTACTTCTTGGGTTTGAACTCTTACGTGGGAGTGACTGAGTGAGATCGAGAGCTTTCATTTCTAAAATAAGCTTATTCATATTGTCTAAGTAGCTATTTTTTCTTGAGTTGCAGGAGAAGGTTGTTCAATATGATAAATGATCTCCCTACAATTTTCGAGGTTGTGTCTGGGACAGCCAAGAAACAATCAAAAGACAAGTCATCAATGTCAAATCACAGCAGCACCAAGTCTAAGTCAAACTCAAAGGTATACTTGTGTGACAGATGGAAGTTTTGCCTTTTTTTGTTTGTTTTTGGATTGAATATGGTAGTGTTACATATTCTTCATAAAAAGCTCATTGCTATGAAGTGTGCACAGGAACATTTTCTAGCATTAATTTTTTATAATTGGACTTACTCCTTATATAGAGTTGGGCAGTCCTCCCCTCATTGACTAGCTATTGGGGGTGTGAGTTAGGTCTCCTCTTAAACTTAGAACTACGTGGCCCCATCACCAGTTCACCACAATGTCAATTTCCAAGATATCACTACGTGAAACCCATATCGTCTAAATATTTATGGCAACTAAAGCCTACAACTAGATTCTTTTTGTATGAGTTTCTCTAAGTTCGCATGGGGAAGTGAATTGAGCCCCACGGCATCATCTCCCTTCATTATACTCATCCCGCTGAACATCCACTGATTGAATTGATCAGTTACATGTCACTTTATGTTGTGGAGTGGTGTGAAACGGCAGAGTAGCACTTCAAGGTGCTGAAGCGAAGCAGTTGAAGAGAAGTGTGTGCTTCAATGGCAGATGTATTGAAGTGGTGCGTAGCGTGAAGGCGCTTTTCTGTTTTAAAAGGTTTAATTTTTAAGAAAAAGGTTTAATTTCTGTGTTGCTGATTTTTTTTATTAACAGTGATTTCTTATTAACAGTGATTATTTTTCCGAAATCTTAGCAGTGATTAAAAAAATGGGTGACCCAGCTTCGAACCATGAGTAACTTTGATTTTGTTTCTCCCAATGGTCTATGGAGGATTTGTGTTATCTACTTTTTATTTTTTAATATAAACTTTACTTATATTTAGTCTCTCTCTATATATTTTGGACTTCTTTTACTTTAAATTGCTCATCACTTCAATGAAGCAAGCACTTCACTTATAGTCTGAAGCAAGGCCTTGTCGCCTTTTTCTCACTTCATGCTTTCCTGAACATTGCCATAGATAGACTGCATAAAGTCAAGCTTCACTTTTTGAGAGGGTCAAGAGTATAATAATTTATCAATTTTCTAAAGTTTTTAGCATCTTCAGGTTCGGTAAATTTTTTAGCAAAAAGGTAACCACCGCATCCGATCTTGATATCTACGAGTGCACATACCTTACAACAACCAATGTGTCATTGATTGAAACTAGGTTGAGTAGTAGTACAGGATGATGGTAATTTGAGCCTTAGAAGATCACTCTCGCACCTCAAGGTTAGGCCTACATGATGAGGACTCACCAACTTCTCAAAGATGCATGGTGAGTCCACATCATGTAAGCTAGTGTTTTATAAAGTGAGAAAAGGAAAGTGATGCATTAAGCAGAACAAACTTTTTCCATCTAAAGCGTGGTTTGATAAAAATATTAAATTTGCATAGACAAATAGCCAAAAACTCAATAGAAATATCATATTAAACAACAACATACTTAGTGAAATCCCACAAAAAGGGTCTACAGGTTCTCTGGTGAGGGTATAGTGTACATTCCTTACTCCAACTTCGTGGAGGTAGAGAGGTTCTTTCCAAAGATCCTGACGCTATTGCAACAATCAGTATGTGCAGTAAAAAGCAGAAGCAAGACAGTAAAAGAATAAAGCTACTACCACGAGACACTAGTAAGTCTAAACTCTACGGGAAGCAAGACAGTTATTCACCAGCTATTGTTTGAGTTCGTCAAGCTCTATGGTGAATTGCTACATGAAATTGCTCAATATAATCCCAACTTATATGTAATATGAAGCATATGACAAAAACAGTTATTGGTGTGGGGCTTGGTTTACTTCCCCTTGTGAGTTTAGAGACACACATGAAAGAAGTTAGTTGTGGGCTTCGATAGCCAAAGATTGGGAAGCTCATGTATATGACCTCTTAATGATGTGTGGCTTTTTGAGGAAAATTATGCGGGCTCAACCCAAAATGGTCAATATCCATCATTTTATGTGGATTTTTGGGTTGTCTTAGCCCATACTCCAAATGTCTACTCACCCCCCCCCCCCCAACACACACACACGTTGGGCATGAGGGTAGCCATTGAAGAATTAAAAAGTCTCACATTGGTGGTTTAAATGAGATGGCTGGTCTCTTTAGAAGACTTGAGCAATCTTGCTCCCTTTGAGCTAACTTTTGGATTTGAGTTAGGCTCAAGATTCATTTTTTACATGGTATCAAGCTCATGTGCATTCCAACCTATGATATACCAATATTGTTGAGCACCCATATTAATTTTTTTTGGACATGAGGCTTGGTGTTAAGTCCCTCATCAATAGGATGATAAAATTTGGACTCCTTTAATGGACTTGGGCAATCCTCTCCTAATGAATTAAGTTTTGGGGTTGAATTAAGCCTAAGATTCATTCCTTTACATGTCATAAATGATATACTTAGATTTTTTAAAATTTTTTGAAAAGAGCCAACTTGTATTATAAACAAATAATACACCGAGTGTTCTAAAGAAGAAAATGCCCCTCACTGAGGACAATGTTCTGCTGGATCTATAGAGGTACTGTAGAATCAGATGTTGGTTTGATAGTTTCTGGCTATTGAGCAGAATTCAATGGAATGGCTTCCTCAACATTTAAGGATCCCACTTCTTTGTTTCCTTGCTCTGCATGTTCATCTAATTCTAATCTACTGTCCACTTGAATGATTGACATAGCATCATCATCCCTTGGTGTCACATCCTGTGGCTCTTGATCAAGTCCTTTTCCATCGATATGTAAATCCATTGATGAGGTTCAAAAGGACTTTCTCCTCTGATATGTTGAAGGATCTGAGCTCCTTTAGTTTGGTTTGCTAGTATCTCAACAATAAAAGGATAAGAGGGCCTTTTGAAGGATGTGTGGGATGAACCCCTCACGTGACACATGTTTGGACAGCTGTATAATTCTTCAGCTTCTCTTACCTTCAATCTGACCCATTTTAGATGATTCTGGAGCTCTGTTTGTATCCATCCACTGCAGAGATCTCCAATATCTTGAAGGATCTTTTAAGACCAAAACAGAGTGGAAGTCCTACCAGTCTGACCCAAACTTCCTTCAGGCTTTCCTAGATGGAGTTTGAGAATGGCATCTACCAGTCTAAGTTGGAATTTCTGAGATTTCTAGAACCATTTCCCTTCAGTTCATGGTCTGCAGCTGTTGTTGGAAACTCAGAGAAACTGATTGCATCCCATCTCATATATTAATGTCATGGTGGTTTTTCCAGGAGCTATTTGCCCGTCAGCAAATCTCAGAAAGATGTACACTCTGTATCTCCTCTGATAGGCGTCCTACCATGCCCTATCCAGTGGTTCATTCTGAGCTTTTTTGGCATCTTCAGGAACAATTAAGGATTTCCCTTTCCTGTTTACGCTAGCAGCATTCATTTCTCTGGTAGACCATTTATTATTCTTGACAGTATCTGCATAAAGGAGCCCTTCCTCTGTGGTTTGATGTAATAGATTGGATGTCCTTACCTTTTTGACATCTATGAAATCGGTTAGCTAAAATATCCAACCACCCTGAATGAAAGTCTATTTTTGGTATTATAACTGTTTTCCTCTTTCCTTGCACATATAATGATACTGAAGTAACAACCAAATTTGTTTTAAGTTTCTTGAAAAGAAAAACTCAAAAGTAATGGTTGTGGAATTTCCATCTCCTGACAGAGTTCCTCTTTGTTTTCGACTCTTCCTTCAGAGTGTGCTGTCCACTCCATTTCTTTTGACTGAAGCTAGCCCTTGTCATCATGTTTCAACCTCTTTTCACCCATTGTACCAAGTCTCAGCCCTTGAGACCTTCCTTGTGATGTCAAAAGATTTAGAGTCTATTGCAAATAAATGACAGCGCCACTCATGGCGAAAATCGAAATGTGAGATTGAAGAAGGGTGAGAGAATTCCGATGACAATTTTACTTGGATTTTATGCCTATTAGATTCTTGAATCATGGGTGTGAGTTTCTTCGGCATTTACCTCTCTATTTCAGCATTGTAATTGTACCCTCCAGTATTTGATACCTTATTTTTCTTATGTAAAATAGCTCCCTATTTGCTTCAAGATTTAGTCTAATGAGGGTTGTCAATGATGTTGCAAGTTTCCTTTTGGTCTTCAAGATGTGGCTGGATATTTCAATGGATTAAATGCACTTTGTTCAATTATGTTCTAGGTTTTTCCTGGCCCTTATCTCACTGGTACATAGGCTGTGTATGTCTTTCAGCTCATGAACCAAATTTTATCAGTTTTTCCAACCAACATTAATGGAGATTGAGTAGGCTAACTTAGCCCACTTAGTCCTTGAAGATTTGTGGGTTATTCCTAATTAAGCCATCCTCAAACTTTTTCTATTCAGGTTTATTGTGGCATTTGACACTTGTTAGTTTTATTGTGTCGATATTATTCTGTAAAAACTGCAAGTGGAATTACCATTTTTAACCTCAAATGATCTGATCACAGGTGGTACAACGTGGTTCTGAATCTCAGATCAAGTATTCAAGACCACAACCAAAAGATGACGATGAAGATGGTTTGGATGAAGATGATGAGCAAGGAGAAACACTATGTGGTGCTTGTGGTGAAAACTATGCATCTGATGAATTCTGGATCTGCTGTGACATATGTGAGGTATGGTTCCATGGGAAGTGTGTTAAAATCACTCCTGCCAGGGCTGAGCATATCAAGCAGTACAAGTGCCCATCTTGCACCAGCAGCAAGAGAACACGCCCTTGATTGCACCTGCGTTATTGAGGTTTATCCTTTGTGAAGTCATGAAAACTGTTAAGATCTTTTCGCGGTATGAGAAGTGGATTTCTTATGGGAAGCTCTTCGATGCCATATGTTCTATTCAACATTACAATTATCTATTATCTAGTTGCAAGAATGTTGTTGTCTAGCGTCTTTTTCTAGTATGTCGTGCTGTGAATGATGTAGGTTGCCTCTCTAAATTAGTCGTTGTGTAGGTTGAAGTTATTGTGTCATGACTGTTCAAATCTCAAGTAGTTGTCTCTGCACTGTTGAGGGAAGCCATTTTTCTCAGTTATGTGATGTTAAGAAGATGCTGTTCTTCCCCAAATTTGTTTTGTCAATCTTTTGTTTCCTGTGGCCTGCAATTTTTTTTGTTCCCTCTCCTCCCCTCTTATTTGATTCATTCTGAAGTAGCTGATACAGTTCAGTGCACGAAGCATCTCGTGTTTACGTGGGTTCGGAAAAGGACTGTATGCATGTAATGTGGTTAGTACATCTTAATTCTTGAAGTAACAAGTCTAGCTGTGTATTTGATTGAGGTATTGCCTATATATTTTTTGGTTTTCTATCTCATGTGTTGTGTTTGTTTTGAAGTTCAACTAATTTGGATTTACGCTTAAAAGTTCCACTTTGGAGGGTAAATTAAGTGTATGGTGACTCCATATCTGAACTCGAATGTAAGACTCCTTTCGATTTTACCATAACCTTTGGTGTAATGAATACCTTGCAATCAAATTTTGCTCTTTTCTCTTTTTGTTTTCGTAGAAGGAAAATATATCGCTCTTTTTGGAAGGAATTATACTAAATAACGCCACATAAAATTGAACAAACGGAGTATTTATTATGGAATCGTTTGGTTAGGAAAGAAGTTACTCTGAGATTATAATATGATGATCCAATAAAGATGGAATTATTTGGTGAATTGATTTAGTTGACTAAAAATGGGATATGTTTTGGATATTAATATAATACATGTGTGTGGTGTATACCAAGATAACTTGTTTTTTTTTTTTTTTCTTATTCCCAATATAAACTTTGAATTTTTTTTGAGACTTTGGGGTAAGAGCCTTGAAAGAGGGCATCTTTTAACATTTTAGTGTTTTATCTCGTGATTAAGTTATTTTAAAATTATTATTCTTTTCTCAATATCGAATAAAATAATATTACAATTATAATATAAATTATTATCAATTTATCCCTCGGACCAAACGAGCTCGAAAACCAAAATATAATCCAACTGCCATCATATTGATTTCTTTTTCCTCATATTTTGTAATTGAAAGGCTAGATTTTGTTAGGAGCCATCAATGAGTGACCTAACCTATGACCAATGGTTGTTGTCTCTTCATGAAAGACAAAGACAATCACACTTTGTAGTCCTATGCTGATGTAACCAAAAAAAAAAATCAATATCTATTTTATAGCTCGATCAATTTAAATTTATATTAAAAATTTTTATATTGATAGTAAAATGATTTTATTTTTTAAATTCGATCTCAAGATTTATAATTGAAGACAAAGTAATACTCCTCACCTCATTCCAATCTTTAGTGGTGATCCTGGATCACACTGTAAATTTTATATCTTTTTCCTTTGCTTCTCATTTAGGGTTTGATATTTCCTTCCAGACTCGATTGATTTGAATTTACATTGAAATGTCTTATTATGGGAATAAAACGCTCTCTATTAAAAGCAAATATATTCATGAATTTCGACTCAGCACCTCTAATTAATAAAATCTTTGATGACAATCTCAAAATCTCAAATATATAGTACTACATAATTGCACTCTTCACCAACAAACAAGTGACAATGTTGTGTTTAACATTATCTTTAAGTTAGGCAATTTGTAGTTCTTAGAATTTGTTTTAGTATTATAATACTTTTTGACTTTATCATTTTTAAAATTTGTTTAAAGTCATAAACAACACAATCATTTTTTATGATTTTTTTTTTTTGTTTTGAAACTTGAGCTAAATTCATTTATAACCATTCCCCCCCCCCCCCAACCCCCCACAACTCCTTTCTAGGCTTTTTCAACCAACCATTTTAACAAAAAAAAAAGTGGCTATCTTCCAAATCCATTTGACATAAAAGTGGCTTATAAAAAGGTCATGGTTTGGGTCCCCAAAACAAGAGCCTAAAGAAACCACCTCCCCAAATTGATACATAAATGAGTAAATTCTTCACATAATCACATGTATATATCATTGCTAATCAAAGGACCACTTTTTCTTTTTTGTTTTTTGTTAGTTGTTGATAAAAAGAAAAAAAAAAGAACATATTTACCTTGAAAAGGAGAGAATACAACAAGGCCAAAAATGTTCCATAATGTAATGATGGTACGTTTGTAATGCATTGTATCTCTCTGAATAATTCTCACTCTTTCACTCTTTTTCTGAACGTCGATGAGTTTTTATCTTTGATACCCAAAAAAGTTCAAACATAATGCTTTAGAAGTATATTGATTTTTTTCTCTTGATTCCATCCATGAATTGATTATTCCAATAATATATAGATATGTGAAGATGTAACAAGAGGCCAACATGAAATACAAAAGAAAATTTAACATAAACGTTGCTATAATATAACATTGCAACTACCTTTTTTACAAAAATTTACATTAGGTTAGGTAAAAACATAAGAAAAAGAAAACTTCAAAAGGATTCTAAATATAGAAACATCTTCTCCATCTACCCTTTTCTTTAGGTTTTTAAACCACTAGCCCGACTACTCTGGATTCGCGCCATATAAACACTGGCCAAACTAATTCAGATTCGTTGTGTGTTCAGAATGGCTCCATTGTCCCTCATTGGCATCTGTGCCTCTATGTCAATCCAAGATTTCATCAAACAAAGGTTTCTTGATTCTTGGTGGATAGTTTCTTGAGGAACTCATAAGTAGTGATCATAGTTATTGCAGACATGGACATTGATGCCCATCTTGGACCTAATCCTCTATAACAAGCACTAAATCCACCTTCCTTCAGTAAATTCTTCACTGTTTGTAAAACTGTTGGTGTTCTCCTACTACTACTACTACTGCAACAATCATCATCTAATACTTGTAATCTTGTTTTGACGGTGTCGAGTGGCATTGTAACTAATGCAGACACTCCACTAGCCATAGCTGCACTCACTCCTTGAACAGCAAGCATTGCCTTCCCATCTGGCTTATAACCGCCCTCGTTGTCTTTCTTGCAACAATAGCAACCAATGGAGCCCCAAACCAATCTATGAGCTGTAGTGTATGAACCCCACCACACTGCATTTGAAGGTGCATAAGTCAGTATTGAAATACCAAATCCTCTATACAATCCCCTCAAGCCATCACTACGAATAATCTTCCTAAACGCGTCAATCCCACCGCTATAACATTTCAATCCAACAACACCACAACTAGAATTCCCACTTCCTTGAACCATCAACCTCTGACTCACAACATCAATTGGTGTCCACACCAATTGAGCAGCCATCGCCGCGCTAAGCCCAGCAGCAGCACTAGCAATAGTCGAAGACGATGCCTCGGAGAATCCCAACTGAACAGTTGCAGTTCCAACACTACTTTTAGTTACTTCAAGTGCCCCCATGTAAAGTGCTCTAGCAGGAATAGTCCCTGTTAGAGAAGTACCAAATCCCCTATAAAATCCTCTATACCCTTCATTCCTCAACATAGATCCTGCCATTTTTAAACATGGAATTTGACTACTCATAACTTGCTGCCTAGTTTTCAACACTACAATTGGATAAAGTGCACCTGAAACACCAGAAAAAAGCGCAGCTCCCAAGAAAAAAAACTTAGATTTGTCAAGCATCTCCCAATTTACATCAGCAGGTAGATGTATTTTTGAACCTGAACCATCCTCCTCCATACTCACACTCATTTTCCAGCACTCCCCAAATCAGCAAAAAAATTCCAAAATCTAACAAAAGAAAAAATTTAATCTTTATATCAAATCCACTAACTAAAAACTCCCTTCAAATCAAATATCCCCCAAAATCACCACCCAATCAAGAACAAACAAACAAAACCTCCACGAACGTAAAATCAAGAAGAGATCAAGCAAACAAAAAAACAAAAACTAAAACCAACCCTCATACTAACATCCCAAGATCTCAAATGGGTCAAGCTCAGATCAACAAAAAGCTACACATACATACAGAATTCACAATGTATACACTATACCATCTATCTATCTATTTACTGTATCATTTTTTCTGTTCTCTTTTCCTGTTTGTAGATGCAAAAGATTTGAGAGCTAAACTTGAATCAACATAAACTAAAACTCAACCCCATCTCAGAGTTTTGAAGAATTTGTGAAAAAGTGTCGATATTTTATAGTGATAGTGAAGAGGTGGGTGGCGGAACAATGGAGAAATGAAAGAAAAAAGAAGAGAGGGTTATGGTATTATATTGAAACTGAGGGTTATGTTTTTGGATATGGACACGTGTCAGTCAAAATCTGAAAATAAACTTACCATAATAACCTTCACACTCTTATCATGGGTCTATAATTCCTGCCTCGGTAAATACTTATCCGCATCGAGATATTATATCATATGATATAAAAAAAAAGTTATGGATATAAGTGATAATAGGATATACTAATTTACACGTATTATGCACATGTTAGCTTGATAATATCACAGTAAGTATTTACCTATATCAAGTTGATATTAAATTATATAAAAATAATCTTTGGTAAGTAACAAATTACACGTATTATGTATTTTTTAACTTGATCGAATAATATCTCAAATAAGTACTTATCTGTATCAAGTTGATATCAAATTTTCTAAATTTGTCATTCGAAAATAAACAACAAGATAAAATTTACACGTATTGTGTATCTTTTAACTTAATCTGAAAATCGAATAACAACCCACGTTAATATTTATTTGTATCAGTTGACATCAAATTATCTAAAGTTGGTAAGTAATATAATAAGGGTATAATTTACATGGATTATATATCTTTTAACTTGATCTAAAATCAGATGACATCTCAGATAAGTAAGTACTCATTTGTATCAGAAATTATCTAAATTTGTCGTTAAAAAGTAATGTAATAAGATAAAATTTACATCTATTATATATCATTAACCTGATCAAGAAATTGGATAATATCTCAGAGAAGTACTAATCTGTATTAAGTTGATATCTAATTGTCGTTGGTAAGTAATATAATAGGATATAATTTACACGTATTATGCACATGTTTGATTGATTTAAAAATTTGATAATATCTTAGTAAGTTTTTATATATATTGAGTTGATATTAAATAATTATTTAAAATTTAGTATTGGTAAGTAATATAATAGACAAATTTTACACGTATTATATATCTTTTAATTTGATCTAAAAATTGGATAGCAACTAAAATAAATACTTATTAGTATCAAGTTGATATCAAATCATCTAAATTTGTCGTTGGAAAGTAACATAATAAGGTAAAAGTTACACGTATTATATATTTTTTAACTTGATTTAAAAATCTAATAACATCTCATATAAGTACTTATTTGCATCAAGTTGATATCAAATTATCTAAGTTTGTCATTGATAAGCAGTATAATATGATATAATTACACGTATTATGTATCTATTAGCTTGATCTAAAAAAAGAATAATATCTTAGTGAGTACTTATATCATGTTGATATCAAAAATCTAAATTTGTCGTTGGTAAGTTATATGATAGGATTTAATTTACACGTTTTATTCATCTTTATAAAATTAAATTGAAAATTGAGTAACATCTTAGTAAGTACTTACTTGTATCAGGTTTTGATATCAAATTGTCTAGATTTATTATTGGTAAGTAATGTAATAGGATATAATTTACACGTATTATGTAATATTGATTTAATCTAAAAGTTGGATAACATCTCAGTGAGTACTGAGTACTGATCTATATCAAGTTGATTTCAAATTATCTAAATTTATCGTTAATAGGTAATATATTAGGACATAATTTACCCGTATTATGCACATGTTTGTTTGATCAAAAATCGAATAACATCTTAGTAAGTATTTACCTGTATCGAGTTGATATTCAATAATTATATAAAAATTATTGTTGGAAAGTAATATAACAAGATAAATTTTATACGTATTATGTATCTTTTAACTTAATCTAAAATCAAATAACATCTCAGATAAGTACTTACTTATATCAAGTTGATATTAGATTATCGAAATTTATCGTTGATAAGTAATATGTACGATATAATATTCACGTATCATTGTGTTTGTTATATTTGAATTTGCATATACATTTCTAAGATTAATATATAATAAGTTCGTTTACTTATCTTTTAAAGCTAAAAATATTTACTTTCAAAAAAATATTTAAAATATCGTAACAGTTTGATCAACCTTTTAAAAAATTTAAACTTTATGTTATAATTTAAATTTGTCATATCACATTAACCGAATAAGAGCAACCCTCTCTTCTCATCACTTTCTTTTCCTAATATGAATCTTATATTATCAACAGCAAAAAAATAAATCAATTTAGTATAATCGCTCACATAATTATTCTTTAAAAGATAAATATCGTAATCGTAATCTGATAACTTATCTTTTAAAAAAGCGTAATAAGTCTCTCATCACTTTCTTTTCCTAATATGAATCTTATATTATCAACAGCAAAAAAACTAACTCAACCTAGTATAATCGCTCACATAATTATTCTTCAAAAGACAAAAAACGTTATCGTAATCTGATAACTTATCTTTTAAAAGCGTAATAAGTCAACGTATATTCACGAGAGATTGCTAGATTTTTTATGTACTTATAAAATTAATAAATATTTTAATATATTTTACATACTTCTAATATATTAACCATATAGAATTTTAAAAAATTCTTTTATTTAGACTTCTTATCTATCTAAATTAAAATAAACAAATTAAAAGGGAAATAAATAATATTTTATTATACTATATAGATAAAAATATTTTAATTTGTGTGGGATTGTGTGCAATAATAACTGACATTGAGATTGGGCCAGTTAGAATAAGGGGTGCTCTTGTTGATTGCATAAACTGTGGGTAAACAGGTGGCTAACACCAGTGGGCTGCCTCACCACTTTTCCCATCCCCATATGCCTGTTGGCTAACCATTCCGTCTTTTTTATTTTTCACTCGATGTTGAAATTAATTATTTTTTTAGATAAAACGCTTTTTAATAGATTTTGATTTCTTATTTGAAAAGATTCAAGTTTGAGATCACAGGTTAAAAACGAAGTACTTATTATTCTATCACAATTCTTTTTGGACACTTATTATCCTTTTTTATCTTTTTTTTATTTTTTCACTCGGTATTAGGTTAGAAAAATTCCGTATTAGGAGAATTACTGTTTGTCTTTTTGGTTGCTCATTTGGTGTATGGTATCTGTAGTGAAACCCGACTTAATTCAGATTCATGCGGAAAAGTGATATTACATTAAAGGGAAAATGCTAGTAAAGGTGATTTTTTTTATATGAAGAGATTTAAATTCGAGACTATGAGTAAAGTATGAAGAAGAACTTACTACTCTCTACCACAACAGTTATTGGTCCCTCATTATCTATTTGTGTGTGTTTTTCTCCACTCGGTGTTTAGAATTGGAAAATTCCATATAGAGCGTACGAATGTTTTTCTTTTTTCGATTTCTAATCGGTGTTTAATATTCATATTCGAACCCGACTAAAATTGAGTCAACGCTGGGAACTCCACATTCGGCGTAAAGCATTGGGGTTTTCTAATAAAAAAGACTTTTTACGAGCGAAATTTGAACATGAAACATCCTGTTAAAAATGAAGAAATACTTACCACTCTATCACAACTCTTGTTGGTTCGGGATATAAAATTACTAATCATTTAGACTTTGGATAGAGGAATTTAGATATATCTTTTTTTATTGCTCCTTGAGAATGTGAGATTTTTCTTTTCTTTTCAAAAGAATTTGTATTATATTCCACTTGTCACTTCTCCATTCATTTAATGGAAAATTAACAACTTCTTGGGGTTATCATGGAATTAATTGTTCATAATTTATGGTCAAAACACATATTAATTTTCTTTATTCACATGCTAAAATTCCACATGTTCCTAGGTGGAATTTCATTATGTTCATTAGGGAATATATGGTATATATTATTTTATCAAAAAACATATTTGTCTCAAATGATATATTTCTAAAAATATTTATATATAATCTAAACAGAAGTGAGAGGTAAAGGGTGTGAATAGTGGGTATGGACGTTACGAGGATGAAGATGATGTTTGTTGGTGGACAGAACACAATTAAGGTAGAATGTCATCACTCGTAAAAAAGAATTCATCGAAAAAATCATTTTCGTATTTTCCTAGAGAGTATTTTTATCTATACCGTTATGTTTGTTTTGATACAACAATGATCTTAGAGGTATTGTGATGCTTTCAAAACTTTTTTGACTTTATTTTCTTTATTCCCCACTTGTTTATAAGAAAATAAACTAACGATTAGAAACTCAAGATCGCTCGTTTTAATAAAATTATTTAATGTAATTTAGTGTTATTTATCTATTGGGTAGCCAACCATTATGTAATTGGGCCAAATGCAGGCCCATAAGTCCTAACCCATGAAAATGTGATAATAGGCCCAAATCTTCTTTATTATGTCATCTATTTTACCAATATTAACAACACAAATTAATAAAAAGTAAAATTTTATTTGATTTTCTAATCAAATACTAATTGTTTGGTATTACAATCTATTTGTATATAAAGAATTGCTTGAAATCGTCTGGTTCACAAACTAGTTATATAAAAAAAAAATTATAATAGCTCGTTTTAAATTTTCACGTTGTTAATCTACTTTATTTCACATTCTACCTTACATCAAAATAATATATAGCTTTTGTATAATTTATACTACTCACTCTCTTCTATTTTATACTACTTATTTCACATTCTTTGTTATATCATTACATGATTATTCTATTCATTTTTATTCAAACATTCGACATGTTGTTTAGTCGATCTAAATAAAATTTTCATAATAGAAAAGATCGTTATGAAGTTTTTCAATATTATTTATCACGAAAAAAAATCTCATCTCAAAAATTAAAATTTGGACATAACATATAAATATGCTCTTTAACTTAATTTTATTTTACATTTATATCCTTCAGTACATAGACACTTAAATTTGTAAAAGTTGAACAATTAGACACACTGTCTTCCTACAATTTGCCTTCTACGTGTATTTTACATCAAATTAGATTTATGTGTCTACTTCTTTAGTTCTATATAAATTTAAGTGTCTTTTTGTGAAACTAAATTTAATGATACGCTTATGTATTATGCTTAAAACATAAAATATCTTATTAGGAATGAATGTTCACTTTTTATCTTTAAA